CTGAATATTGTACAAGACAATGGTCAGACTTTGCAGACACAAAGTCAAAGCAGACATGGTTTCTTCATGCTTGTATTTAGAATTAGAGCTGTTTAATTTGTTTTTTCATGGTGTGATTTGGGCAAACCAACTCAGTCATGCCCAAAGGGGAAAAATGAATAGGTAGGATTAAGGGTGGGGAAGGAAGTATAACATGCTGGTTAAAATCATTTTTTTCTTTTAATGTTCATTTATTTTTGAGAGAGAGAGACAGAGTGCAAGCAGGGGAGGGACAGAGGGAGAGAAGGAGACGCAGAATCTGAAACAGGCTCCAGGCTCTGAGCTGTCAGCACAAAGCCCAGTGCGGGGCTTGAACTCAGGAAGCGTGAGAAAAATAATTTATTTTTCTTAATTCATTAATTTAAAATTCCAGTATAATTAACATACAGTGTTATATTAGTTTTGGGTGTACAATTGAACAATTCTATACATTATTCAGTGCTCATGATGATAAGTGTACGCTTAATCCCCATCACCTATTTCAGCCATCCCCCTACCTACCTCTCCCTTGGCAACCACAGTTTTTCTCTATATTTAGGAGTGGTTTTTTGTGTTTGTTTGTTTGCTTATCTTTTTTTCTTTGCTCATTTGTTTTGTTTCTTAAATTCCACATATGAGCGAAATCATATGGTGTTTGTCTTTCTCTGATTGACTTATTTCACTTAGCATTATATTCTCTAGATCCATTGATGTTGCTGCAATTGGCAATATTTCATTCTTTTTTTACAAAAAAAATTATTTTTAGAGAGAGAGAGAGCAAGCAGGTTGGGGGGAGAGGGGGAGAGAGAGAGAATCTTAAGCAGGCTCTGTGCTCAGCATGGAGTATGACGTGGGCCTCGATCCCATGACTTTGGGATCATGATCAGAGCAGAAGTCGAGTTGGATGCTCAACTGACTGAGCCACCCAGGAGTCCCAATTTCATTCTTTTTTTTTTATGACTGAGTAATATTCCATTGTATATCTACGTCACCTCTTCTTTATCCACTCATCAGTCAATGGACACTTGGGCTGCTTCCATATTTTGGTTATTGTAAATAATGCTGCAATAAACAAAGGGATGCATATATCTTTTCAAATTAGTGTTTTCATATTCTTTGGGTAAATACACAACAGTGGAATTACTGGATCATATGTTAATTCTATTTTTAATTTTTTTTTTTTTGAGGAGACTCCATACTGTTTTCCACAGTGGCAGCACCAGTTTGCATTCCCACTAACAGTGCATGAGAGTTCCTTTTTCTCCACATCCTTGCCAACTCTTGTTTTTTCTTGTGTTGTTGATATTAGCCATTCTGACAGGTGTGAGGTGATATCTCATTGTAGTTTTGTTTTGCATTTCCCTGATGGTAAATGATGATGAACATGTTTTCATGTGTCTATTGGCCATCTGGATGTCTTCTTTGGAAAAATGTCTATTAACGTCTTCTGCTCATTTTTAAATTGGATTATTAATTTTGGAGTGTTGAGTTTTATAAGTTCTTTATATATTTTGGATACTAACCCAGTATCAGATATATCAGTATCAGATATATCAGATATCAGATATATCATTCGAAAATATCTTCTCTCATCGAGTAGATTGTCTTTTAGTTTTGTTGACCGTTTCCTTTGCTATGCAGAAACTTCTTTTTTTTAATGTTTATTTGAGAGAGACAGAGAGAGAACACAAGCAGGGGAAAGGCAGAGAGAGAGAGGGCACAGAGGGTCTGAAGTAGGCTCAGTGCTGACAGCAGACAGTCCAATGTGGGATTGACTGTGAGATCATGACCTGAACTGAAGTCAGATGCTTAATTGACTGAGCCACCCAGGTGCCCTGAAGCTTTTTATTTTGATTTAGTACCAATAGTTTATTTTTGCTTTTGTTTTCCTTGCCTCAGAAGACATATTTAGAAAAAAGTTGCTTTGGCCAATGTTGAGGAAGTTATTGCCTGTGCTCTCTTGTGTCATTTTTATGGCTTCAGATTTGACATTCAGGTTTATAATCCATTTTGAATTTATTTTTGTATAAGGTGTTAGAAAGTGGTCCAGTTTCATTCTTTTGCATGTTGCTGTCCAGTTTTCCCAGCACCATTTGTTGAAGAGATTGTCTTTTTCCCATTGCATATTCTTGCCTCCTTTGTTATAGATTAATTGACCATATAATAATGGGTTTATTTCTGGGCTCTATTCTATTGACCTATGTGTCTATTTTTGTGCTAGTACCATACTGTTTTGATTACTACAGTTGTAGTATATCTTGAAATCCAGGCTAGTCGGGATGTGAAGTGATTCCATACAAATTTTAGGATTATTTGTTCTAATTCTGTGACAAATGCTGTTGGTATTTTGATAGGGATTGCATTAAATGTGTGGACTGCTTTGGGTGCTATAGACATTTTAACAATATTTGTTCTTCCAAACTATGAGCATGGAATCTCTTTCCATTTGTTTATGTCTTCTTCAATTTATTTCATCAATGTTTTATAGTTTTCAGAATACAATCTCTTACCTCCTTGGTTGTTTACTACTAGGTATTTTATTATTTTTGGTGCAATTATAAATGGGATTGTTTTCTTATTTCTCTTTCTACTGCTTCGTTATTAATGTATAGAAATGCAACAGATTTCTGTATATTGATTTTGTATCCTGCGACTTTCATGAATTCATGTATCAGTTGTAGTAGTTTTTTGGTGGAACCATTATGGTTTTCCATATACAATATCATGTCATAGCAAATAGTGGAAGTTTTACTTCTTCCTTACCAATTTGGATGACTTTTATTTCTTCTTGCTGTCTAATTGCTGAGGCTAGGGACTTCCAGTACTGTGTTGAATAAAAGTGGCAAGAGAAGACACCCTTGTCTTGTTCCTGATATTAAGGGAAAAGCTTTCATTTTTTCACCTTTGAGTATAATGTTAGCTGTGGGTGTTTCATAAAGGGCCTTTATTATGTTGAGGTGTGTTCCCTCAAAACCTACTTGGTTGAGGATTTTTATCATGAATGGATGTTGTACTTTGTCAAATGCTTTTTCTGCATCTATTGAAATGAATGCATGGTTTTTATCCTTTAAAATTTTTTTTAATGTTTATTTATTTTTGAGAGAGACAGAGTGTGAGTAGGGGAGGGGCAGAGAGAGACACACACACACACACACACACACACACACACACACACACAGAATCTGAAGTAGGCTCCAGACTCCCAGCTGTCAGCACAGAGCCCGATGCGCCAATGTGGGGCTTGAACTCATGAACTGCGAGATCATGACCTGAGCTGAAATCAGATGCTTAACCGAGTGAGCAACTCAGGCACCCTTCTCTTTTTTCTTGCTGATTTGAAGTATCATATTGATTGATTTGCAAATATTGAACCACACTTGCAATCCAGGAATAAATCCCACTTGATTGCGGTGAATGATGTTTTTTTTATGTATTGTTGGTTTCAGTTTGCTAATATTTTGTTGAGAATTTGTGCATCTATGTCCATAAGAGATATTGGCCTGTAGTTCTTTTTCAGGGGTGTCTTTATCTGGTTTTGGTATCAGGGTAATGCTGGCCTCATAAAGTGAATTTGGAATAGTTCTTTTTTTTTGAACTGGTTTGATGAGAATAGGTATTAACTCTTCTTTAAATGTTTGGTAGAATTCACCTGTGAAACCATCTGATCCTGGTCATTTGTTTGGGACTTTTTTGATTACTGATTTAATGTCATTGCTGGTAATAACTTTGTTCAAGTTTTATATTCTTCCTGATTCAGTTTTGGAGGCTATATATTTCTAGGAATTTGTCAATTTCTTCTAGGTTATCCAGTTTGTTGGCATATAGGTTTTCATAATATCCTCTTAAAGTCCTATTTATTTCTGTGGTGTCAGTTATTATTTCTCTTCTTTCATTTCAGATTTTGTTTGAGTCTTCTTTCTTTCTTTCTTTCTTTCTTTCTTTCTTTCTTTCTTTCTTCGTTTGTTTTCGTGTTTTTTTTTTTTTTTTATGAGTCTGGCTAAAAGCTTAGCAATTTTGTTGATTTTTTTTTCAAAGAACCACCTCCTGGTTTTATTGACTTCTACTGTTTCTTAGTTCCTATTTCACTTATTTCTTCTCTAATCTTTATTATTTCCTTCCTTCTGTTTTTGGGCTTTGTTTATTATTCTTTTTGTAGCTCCTTTAGGTGTAAGGTTAGGGCTATTTAAGTGTAAGTTTCTTTGAGATTTTTCTTGCTTTTGAGGTAGGCTTGTATTGCTATAAACTTCCCTCCTGGAACAGCTTTGGCTGTGTCCCAAAGATTTTAGACTTTTGAGTTTTCATTTTCATTTGTCTCCATGTAGTTTTTGATTTACTCTTTAGTTTCATGGTTAACCTATTCATTGTAGCATGTTATTTAACCTCCATGTATTTGTGTTCTTTCCAGATTTTTTCTTGAGGTTGATTTTTTGTTTCATAGCATTGTGACTGGAAAAGATGCATGGTATGACTTCAATCTTTTTGAGTTTGTTGAGATTTGTTTTTTGGACTAACATGTGATCTATTCTAGAGAACGTTCCATGTGCACTTGAAAACAATGTGTATTCCACTGTTTTAGGATGGAATGTTCTCAATATATCTGTTAGATTCATCTGGTCCAATGTGTCACTCAAAGCCACTCTTTTCTTGTTGATTTTCTGTTTGAATGATCTATCCATTGATGAAAGGGGAGTGTTAAGTCCTCTACTATTATCGTATTTCTATCAATAATTTTCTTCATATTTGTTAAAAAATGCCTTATGTATTTGGGTGTCACTATGTTGGGTGCATAAATATTTACAATTGTTATATCTTCTGGTTGGATTGTTCCCTTTATGATTATGTAGTGTTCTTCTTTGTCTCTTGTTATAGTCTTTGTTTTAGTCTATTTTGCCTGATATAAGTTTGCTACGTTGGCTTTCTATACACTTCCATTTGCATGATAAATGATTTTTCCATCCCTTCACTTTCAATCTGCATGTGTCTTTTTTTTTCAAGTTTTAAAACTTTTTATTTGCACATTCAAAAAATTGTATATTCCAATAATTAAAGTTGTTTGAACAAAAAAATGGTTCTGTGATTAAACTGCAAATTACAGCTTGCAGGACACCTTGGGCCAGCTTGGTTTTTACTCTAGATTTCACTCTTGTACCACCCAGCTTCTCTCTTCACCAGCATGCAAGTTCTTTCCCTTCCCAGCCAGCCAGACAAGCAGAAGGGAGAGGTAGGCACGGCCCTTGTTGTCAGTATTTCTTGATTCTTTGATGTAAAAAGGGGCAGCACAGTCATTTAAACTTGATCCAACCTCTTTGCATCTTACAAAGTTAAACAGCTGAAAAAAGTAAAATAAGAAGGCAATGCTTGTGTAATGTACAGTGCATATTGACTGTGCATGCCTCATTATGATTTGCCTGCTTGCTTTTCCTGTTCAGTTGTTTCTTTTGAAGTCAGTGGATTTTTCTTTTGAGTTTCTGTCTTTTTCAGTTTCAACTTATTGAATTTCTCAATCTCAGCCATAATGGGTTTGTCAAACATGGTTTCGGCAGAAAGGAATGAGGTGTGGGAGTGACTGAAGTCCTGTCTGCACAGTGGCTGCTGCATGAGTACCAATCTGCATGTGTCTGCATCTCTCGTAGGCAGCATATGGATGGGTCTTTCTTTTTTTTATCAATTCCATCACCCCATGTCTCTTGAATGGAGGATTTAGTACATTTATATTCAAAGTAATGATTGACAGGTATGTACTTATTGCCATTTAGTTACTTTTTAATGGTTGTTTTCGTAGTTCTTTTCTATTCCTTTCTTCTCTTGCTTTCTTCCCTCATGGTTTGCTGGCTTTCTTTAGTGATATACTTGGATTCCCTTTTTTAAAAAAAATTTGCATATCTATTATCAGTTTTTTGATTTGTGGTTACCTTTAGGTTTATATGAAACATCTTGTGCATATAATAGCCTATGAGTCCATTCTAAAAGCACTACATTTTTACTTCTACCTCCCCATGTTTTATGAATATAGTGCCATACTTTACATGCTTTCATTTTATGAATCCCTTGACTGGGTCAAAGGATATAGATACACCTAATAGATATATTTAATTTTGCTGCTTTTGTGGTTTCTACTTTTCTTGCTCCTGCTTGTGATCTTTCCTTTTCACTGAAAGAATTCCTTTTAATATTTTTTGTAAGGCTGGTTTAATAGTGATAGATTCCTTTAATTTTTGTTTGCCTGAGAAATTCTTTAATTTTTTTTTAAGTAGGATTCATACCCAGGGTTGAACCCCACATGGGGTTTGAACTCACAACCATAAGATCAAGGCCTGAGCTGAGATCAAGAGTTTGATGCTTAACCAACTGAGCTACCCAGGAGCACCTGTCTGAGAAATTCTTTATCTCTCTTTCTATTCTGAACGATAGCCTTGTTGGATGAAGCATTATTCATTGCAGGTTTTCTTTCAGCACTTTGAATATATCATGCCACTCCCTTCTGGCCTGCAAAGTTTCTGCTGGAAAATCATCTGACAGCCTTATGTGGTTTCATGTATCTGTAACTGTTTCTTTTCTCTTGCTGCTTTTAAAATTCTCTCTTCTTCACTAATTTTTGCCATTTTAATGACTGTGTGTCTTGGTGTGGGCTTCCTTGGGTTGATTTTGTTGGTGGCTCTCTGTGCTTCCTGGATCTGGATTTCTGTTTTCTCCCCCAGATCTGGGAAGTTTTCAGCTATTATTTCTTCAAATACATTTTCTGCCCCTCTCCTTTCTCTCTCTTCTCCTTCTGGGATTTCTATAATGTGAATGGTGTTACATTCGATGGTGTTGCTGAATTCCCTTAATCTATTCTCTCTCTCTCTCTCTCTCTTTTAATTAAGTTTTTTTATTTCTCCTATTCAGCTTGATTGCTTTCCATTACTCTGTTCTCCAGGTTGATGATTCATTTTTCTGCTTCCCGTAGTCTACTATTTATTTCCTTTAGTGTATTTTTAATTTCAGCTTCTGTTCTTCATTTCTGATTAGTTCTTTTTCACATTTTCTTTCTCTTTGTTAAGGGTCTCACTGAGGTCCTCCACTCTTCTCAAGTCCAGTGAGTATCTTTACGACCATTACTTTAAATTCTCTATCAGGCATATTACTTATCTCTGTTTCCTTTAGCTTTCTTGCTGTGATTTTTGTCCTGTTCTTTCATTTGGAACATATTCCTCTGTTTCTTCATTTTGTCTAACTCTCTGTGTCTATCTTATGTGTTAGGAAAGTCAGCTACATCTCCTGCTTTTTCAAGTAGTGGCCTTATGAAGAAGAAGTTCTGTGGTGCTCCATAGTGCAGTGTCCTCTGTTCCTCAGAGCCTAGCACTTGAGGGATGTCTTCTATGTGTCTTATACACACCCTACTGTTGTGGCTGAACTGCATTTGCTTCAGTCCAGTCATCTGCAATGGCTCCCTTTGCCTGTTATGGGTAGTGTTTGGTCCCAGTGTTGTTAATGGCCCAATCTGGGGCCACCTTGGGCTTGAGCTGGGTTAGATCAGGTGTTTTCCAGAACTGTGGTTGCACCAAACTGTAGGATGTTCTCACTGTGTTGTTCCTCTGGAGACTTTCATTGGTGGGTGGGGCCTGTAGTCAGACCAGATGTCTGCCCCCAGCCCACTGCTGGGGCTGCGGTCAAATTGGTATGAGTAGTTATCTTCCCCTCTTCCTGGGGCAGGAATAACTGGAGTGGTATTGGCCCATGTTGCTGCTTGCACACTGCCATGCTGTGGTGCCACTCTGGATGGACTTCAGCCAAGGGCAGCTTGAGTGGGGTGATCTCTAGGAGAGCATGGCGGTGGGCTGCATGATGTTATCAAAGTTTGTGTAGGTCTGCTGTGGGAAAACTGGCACTGCTTTGGAAAACTCCTGCTGAGGGCAGGTTGGATAAAACCTTGATATAGAGGTCTGATCAGCCAAGGTTCACATCCCAACTCTTATCTGTAGTGTCAAAAAGACAAATTATTAACCTCTCTAAACCTCAATCTAGTTATCTGTAAAATGGGGAAAATAATACTTATATGTTCATGTTATTGTGAAGTTTAAATGAGATAATGGATATAAAGTGATTAGCACAATGCGTGGTACATGATTAAGTGCTTAGTAAAGTGGTGGCCACATCCACATACTGGAACAGACTGTTCAGAGAGATTGCAGAATTCCTAGGTTAAGTACAACTCTCAAGAGCAGAAACTTTGCCTTGATAGTCTATAGTAGTTTGCATAGTCTCCTTGACCATGAGTCCCTATTTTTTTCCTTTCGTTTTCTAGTTCAATTCTATTATATTATTCTTAAAACCAGTAGTAAGAAATGTATGTTTTCTTCCAGCATGTTTAAGCCACAGTTTTAAATAGAAACAGGAAAGTTTTCTTCTACTTGATGCTCTTTAGCAGTATTTTAGTAGAATTTTTGGCTGCAGCATCACATCGAGGCAGTATCCTTCAGGGAACTTCTCTGTCCTTTTTCTAGGTTGGTGTGGTGTCCTGATACAGACTCGAGAATAGTTTTTCTCTTCAGTTGCATAAGTATGTACTTTACATACATTGAAACCTCTTTGCCTTTTTCCTGCTTACTCATGGGCACTTGCCACTATTTGATATGATAGCCCTGAGTTGTCTGTTTCAAAAGATATTTATGATGCATGAACCTCCCTTCTAGCATTTTTTCCCCATGAGGACCAAGAAAAGTGATTCATTTACCAAATTTGCTATCTGATCTTTTGATGAGTGTACCTTTTTCAGACCTTGATCATTAAATTGTCATTCAGATTCTTCAGCCCACATTTTTTTTTTTTTTTAGTGTGTTGTAAAAAGTGTTTTGTTGCCTTTGGAGTCCTTTTCAAAGCACTTCTCAAATTATATTTGGTCTAGTTTTCAGTTTTTATGGTTAACCTGCTCTGTTTGTGGGTTTCCTTTCCTTTTGTGGGCTACTTTTCTGTTATTAAAGCTGATTTTCTTTTAAACCCCTGTAATTGTTGCTTTGGCCATCAGTCAGACAGGTGGAGTTTTTGTTTGTTTGTTTGCTCTTGGAAGAGTTTTTAATTAAAAAACATGTTTTTTAGTACTCCCTTCCCAATGCTAATTACAATTTTATTTTTGGCTTCTGATGAGGTGTTTGAAAAAAGTCTCTAGGCTTCTATTTAATTTCACTTTTCATTCATTTCTCTCCCTACCCAACTCCTGAATTTGCTTATGTTTCAACCAGTGGAAATGATCCCAAATGAGGGATGTAGACTGAAGTTCTAGTGCCAGGACAGCTTCAAAGTTATTGCGTGACTTTGATTGGGTCATTTGACTACGTGGCTCCCAATTTCTTCATCTGTGAAATGAAAAGAGTTTGTTCATTTACTCAACAAGTATTAAGCAAATGTTAAACTGTAGGCAGTATGTTAGATGCTGGACAATCTGCAATGAACAAAAAAGTCAAGATGCTTCCTGTCATGAAAAGTATATTCTAGTGCCATTAAATGATATAAACTCCAAGGCTCTTTGGAATTTATGGCACTGTATGTGATACTTCCACTTAGTTCCAATTCTCTTTTAAACAGAATAGAAAAAAATATAATATGTCTGAAGTTTGTTTTTGGCTTTTGGGAATTCCTTTGGCTTAAGATAAATACTTTACACTTTGTCCTACAGGGCATTCCATGGAAACCAGTGTGAGATGTTCTTTCTAGAAAAGATTCAAGTCAAAGCTGCATACTATATCCCTCTCTTTTTTTTTTTTTTTAATTTTTTTTTCAACGTTTATTTATTTTTGGGACAGAGAGAGACAGAGCATGAAGGGGGGAGGGGCAGAGAGAGAGGGAGTCACAGAATCGGAAGCAGGCTCCAGGCTCTGAGCCATCAGCCCAGAGCCCGATGCGGGGCTCGAACTCACGGACCGCGAGATCGTGACCTGGCTGAAGTCGGACGCTTAACCGACTGCGCCACCCAGGCGCCCTATATCCCTCTCTTAAAGTGAATCTTAGAACACCTTTGGAAATACACTTCAGAGCTCTGCTTCTTAAAGTACACTAAAAAAAAAGGAATTACCAAGTAATTAAGACTGACCTTTATTTAGATGTGGGAGTCAGCATCAGTGAAAGAGGAAATGAAAGTTTTCTTGGTTGCTGCCTGTATGATAATACTTATTGAGTTATAAAATTGAAATTATCTCTGGACTATAAATATCTTTATTGGGTATCAGTAATAATTATAAATAAGTATGAAGAGAAAATGTATATATTTTATTGTTTGGTTGACAATAAATTATGTGACATATATCTTGGGAAAATATTCAGCTGATAAACTTTTTTTTTAATTCTAGTGTAATTAACATGGGCTGGTAAAGTTTTAAAGTTACTTGCTAATGGAATTTTAGGGCTGCAGGAACTACCACAATAGAAGTTTTTAAAAGAATGTTTAAGCCAAGTCTTCTCTCCTTTTCCCTTCATATCCCTTTTAAAGTGGGCTATTTGTGGGAATGAATATGTCAGGTAGTAAGAAAAGGTTGGAATCATATTGGGGTAATTTTGGAATTATTATTAGAGTAGAGCTACCTGAAAGGATTGTTTATAACGGATAACAGCTGTCAGGAGAAATAAAATAGAATGAAA